TTGAAGGCAGGGGAAATTGCTTTTGTAATGCATTAAACAGTTAATATCTTTATTCAAGCCCAAGTTGACAGTGTAACATTTGTAAATGAATTCCAGTTCAGCAGTCTTTCTCCATAATTGGGTGGTAAAATTCCTTTGTAGAAGAATGACTACTCATAAATCCATTATTGAATGTCCAGTTAGGTTAAAATGTTCCTCTACACAGGTTTATGTTTGTTACCATTCCTAATGTCTGATTTGTGTCCATTTACCTTTTTCGCAGAAATTGTCTGGTTTTTCCAAAATACGTGGCATAGGGGCATTGCTGACACTTGATGGCATACAGTCCATTAGAAGATGTGCAGTTGTATGAGCCCCTGATGTTGTGACTTACATGTTTGGGTCCTTGTGTTGCTTGTATAAATATGCGGACAGTGTTGACAGTGGGGTTTGTTGCAATAATAGGTTCCTGGGTGAGTGTGTCACAGGTGTGATGGGTAGCTGCTGGTAAGGATTTGCTTCACATTTGGGGTTGTCTATAGGCAAGGATTCGCCTGTCTCCCAACGTCTGTGAAAGTGAGGGATTGTTTTCCAGGACAGGTTGTAAATTATCAGTGATGCACTGGAGGAGTTTAAACTGGGTTCTGTAGGTGATCACCAGTAGTGTTCTATTATTTTCCTTGTTGTGCCTGTGTTGAAGTAGGTGACTTTTGGGTACTTGTACAGCTCTGTCAGTCTGTTTCTTTACTTCCTCAGGTGGGTAGTTTAGTTTTAAGAATGCCTGATAAAGATCTTGGGAGTTGAGGAACTGTTGTGGGTTTTCCCACAAAAGCTCATGTTCCTATATATTTGTTAGTCTCTAAGGTGCCACAGGTCTACACATTGTTTTTAATATATATTTAACTGTTAAATGCACTACTATATAGAGAAAAGTTATCATACGCTCCTTATTGCTGTTCATTTTATCTCTCCATTCTATCTGTCCTGCTACAATAAACTCATAAGAAATTTAAGAATATTCCAATTTGCAGATATTTTCAGAATGTATTCAGTTACACGAAAGCCAAAGAGAGTAGGTGGAAAAAGCCCCCCCAGTAACTACTGTAAATGAGGCATGGCTACTATATATTTTCTTAGTTCCTGCCAAATTCCTACTAGAATTTTCATAATTGGGAAGTTTAGTATCATAATGAGTATCGCAAACTCTGAAGAAAAGTATAAAACCCCTTGAGAAACTAACAAAAACAAACCTTCACCTATTCTAGGGAAATGAACATCTTGACTTTTAGTATAAACTTAGTACAGGCAGTCCCCGGGTTACGTACAAGATAGGGACTGTAGGTTTGTTCTTAAGTTGAATTTGTATGTAAGTTGGAACTGGTACATATTGTAGAGGAAACTCTAGCCAAACATTTCTCCAGAGCTCAGTTTTATTCTCCCACACCTCACTTCCCTCAGTCCTTTATTCTCAAGCTTTATTCTCAAGACCCTCCTTCCAGCCGACAGTGGGGGGTGTTGGAGCTGCCCAGAGGCGTCCGCGGGGCCAATGGACCCAAAGCTGGCGGGGGCGGGGTGCCTCCCCCATTGTCGCCGCCTCCCGCGGTGCGGGGGGCACTTCCCCTGCAGCGCTTGGGGCAGCGCCGGCTGAACCTCCTGTCAGGCAGCACGTCTCGGAACAGGACCAGGTACCTACCCAAAATAAACCCAAGGACAGGGAATAGCAACACAAGTGAGGGATATCTACAGGGTGAAAAACTGCAACGAGCATTTCTCCGCTGAGGTCTGCGGATAGACATGGCTCTGGGATACCTTAAATTTCAAGCTGCTGCCTTTAAAGGCAAGCAAGGGCCTCTATTGCTGCTCTTTGTACAGCCGTGCGGGAGCCCAGCTGGCGGTGCACAGGAAAGAGCCGAGCACACAGCAATCCCCTTCCAACACCCCACCCCACCCCACCCCCGGAGGCTCCTCCACGGAGCTGTGCAGAAGCGGTGGGGGGGGGCACGGACAATCTCTTTTACACACGAAATTATTAGCAGGAAAAGCATGGAGGAAGGGAGGGAACAGGTAAAATGTCAGCAGGAGCAGAGTTAACCCTTCGCTGCAGGCAGAGGGCCCCGCGGCCGCCCCCCATTGCCGCCGCCGCAGCCCCGGGGAGGGGGTGGAATGTTCCCCGCGTGCGGCGCGCGCCAGGCTCCCCGGCCAGGGGACTCTATGGCGTGGGGCCCCAGCGGCAACAAAAATGTTGGCGGGTGAAAAATTTACCCCGTCGCCTGCCGGCCTCGGCGCGGGGAGTTTTTTAAAGTGGCCCTGGCGGCGCTTCGCATCCAATTCCCCCTACCCTCCCCCGCAGCCAGGCTCTGGGGCTGGGGCCAAGTGTGCCCCGTGCGCCCCGACCGGCCGCTGCAGCGCCTGGAGGCCG